ATGTGTGTAGGCCAGGTAATAACAGACTGTCGTTGCTCCCATTTGGCTCAGGCAAACGGAAGGGCTAACGTCGTCGCCCGAGTCTGTGGACGTAGGCTGAAACGTTCTGCTTGGCCAATTAAAAGCCTGTGATTGGTTGAAGAGACGGGACCATCCTGAGGCCGATTAACCAATCCCAAGGCGGCGGGAATGAGAAGAGTAGTCGAGGCGACTAGAGCTGTTGCCCACAGATGCAGACAGACAAGGGGACGAAGCAGCAAAATCGGCCTGCCTTTAAGCCTACGCGAGGGTGAGTCTAATTGAGTTGAGCCTAGGCGAGAGCAAAAGGCGTGCAGATACACAAACCTGGACTGGGAAAGTCTACCAACTGGCGAAGCAAGAAATAGGCTGAGAAAGAGGCAGAACGGCAACTCTACAGAAGGAAAAACAGACAGGCCGAGTCAGTAGTGAGGACAGTGATACCGAGATGCCATTTCATATCGATCGTGGACGCCTTGACAATTGAACCAGGACGACAAAGATCGATGATCGGCCAATGCAGGGAGTAGTACAGGGCAGATACAGCCATCGACTGGCTGTTGCCAGGCCTGAGAGTGGGCAACCGGAAGGGCTGTTGGTAAATGGCCGGGTACTAAGTGGGGTACAGCATCCGGCTGTTTGCAGACAACTTCAACGACGGGTCGACTCCACCATTTTCAGTCGCCTAACGAGGCTAGTCGTGAAAGTAGTACCAAAATCCAGAGGTATAATATCTCTTTTGACCAAGTAACTTTATCATTGTTGAGCCGAACGAGTGTCCGATTTTGCGCAATCGGAGTGATGGTTAAAATAAAAAGGAAAAAAGATGCTATAATCCCTTTGGGCTAACACGGCTGGTATCATACAAAGGCGAACGCATTAAGGCACATAAATACACACATACAGACGAAAAGAGTCACACGCTTTGAGCTTGACATATAACTTGAGCTGACCAAATTACTTTATAAATCAGCTAGAAGCATAAATATACCGTAGATGTACAGCATTTATCTACTCAGCAGCTTTAATATAGTTGTAAGGATGATGTGCGTCGTACGACAGATGAAAGCTTAGCACATTTTCGCCGGAGTCGAAAGAGCTTGTCTCGGGAACAGCGTCAAAAAGAATGCTCCAGTCAAGCCAACCGAAAGCTGGTCTTCTGGTGGGATCTATCTTTGAATCTTTTCAACAATTATCAACCAAGAGATACTTCAAAATGCAACTTATTCGCATAAACAAATGTAGTCAGCCTAAATCGCACTTGGCCACAATCATACAAGCAGGGGCTTCAGGGGCCGGTGAATTCCACTTGGTCCAGCCGCCTCAAAGCTTAGCTCATCCCGACTTTCGAATTCGCCCAACGGGAGTCTAACCCGGTTCATGGGTTTGTTGACAAGGTTAACGCATATTTGCCAGTAAAATCGACAGCACTACTTGTATTCGTGGTAAGTAGGTGTTCAAGACCATCAGTCGATTTTGTAGTTGACTTTTCCCACGTTAAAATGAACAGACAGGCAGGATTTCAACAATTTTCACATGATTGTCAATCTCTAAGTAACCTTATTACGCAAGAGTTACCAATCGTCTTGAAAATAGTTAGGAAATTCCTGTTGGAAGGCGAGATTGGGTGAAATTGGCTGTCATTGTTAGACCAACGCACTTAATTGCGGGCAAGCCCGCTATCATTCCCTCTTCAAGTTGTGCGATCTGGGCTGACCAAAACTTCTTGTGGTGGTGAATTTCATTTCGGATCAAGGTCGGGGAGAAAAAATTGGGTGTATAGGTGTCTAGGTTTCAAGTGATCGTGGGCACGGCGCGTATTTTGGAGAGCACATCGAAGTCAATGCCAGGAACGCCGGTACAAAGTTAAGCAGAACGATTGGAAGGTAAACAAGTCAAAAGTTGTGATAGCGCAGGAGTTGGATAAGAGAGTAGAGAGTTGATAGATGGGCCAGGACAGGAAGAGGAGTGATAGTGCAACCATTTTCGGCAGAATGTTGGTCTAGGGATTGATTTCACTGGTCTCTTTGACAAGTTGTAGTTCGGTACGGAGAATGACAACAGTCACCGATGATGCCGGCGACAGGTCTGAGAATGTATCAAGTCCACGGTCTGGTGCTGAGAATATGATAGTTACTATGGCAGAGGACCTCGGACAAGGTAGGTTCTACTAAGTCACCATAACAACAATACCAAGTAACGACAACGAGGTCAACACACTTTGAAACAGAACAGCCCATGCATAAATAGTAGACTTAGAGATTAAGAGTGTGATGGGTGAAGTTTCCATTGAATTTCACATAGCCTTACTTTCTCAAAAGTTGTTCTCATCCAGGCACCAGTGGACTGCAGTTTCGACCTCGCATTGGTCTTATCAACATCCCCAACGGGAGTCGAACCGTGACCGTGCAGCGTGTAATCTCGACACGTTAACCCCTTCACCACATTGTCACGAGTGCTCTTAGGTCAAAGGGCAGATGTGAATTCCAAAAGAGGCCAGGCATTTTTCCATATCACATTCTGTGATGGGGCCGACAATGAAACAGACCTATATTTGATCGAAGGTATGAAGACCAAGATGGTGTGTCCTTTTGTGTGGTCGCAGTCTCCTTTCGTTGTATAGTGGTTGTTTGACCTT